TAACTATAAAAGTTTTGAAACAAAAAAAACAGCAGTTTTATTATATACTAATAAGTACATGCCTGTTCAGATAACTGTCAATGGCTTTACAGCAATCCACAGCAATTCCTGTCAACATCAATGGAAGAATTTGAATATAATCGGTTCGATCTTTTTGATTTAACTGGATCTAGGGTAAGCTTCTTCCCTGCCCTACTTACATCTGGTCCATCTAATTTCCATCTAAAAAGAAAAGCCGCACAATATGTATAGCAAAATTTTTATTGAAGATGGACCTTATTTTATTTATTATTATTTATTCAAGTTTATTTATACAGGGATAAAATATCAGGACTTAAAGTAATTACTAAAATTGCATTAATTAAATCGTTATGATACCAATCTACCACTAATTAAATCTAATAACAACAAAGTGCCTGCTTTCCATGAATGCTGTGTGATTAATTAAGTCATTTATTATCATAAAGGAAACCGTCCTGCAACCTGCAAAAACCAGATACAATAGGTCTATTGAAAATAGCACAAAGAGAATTTGCGACCAGATCAGCACACTTTTGAAGAAGTCGTTTCAAGATTTTATCTAGTCCCATCGCTTTAGATTTACAAAGTTTAGATAGTAAAGAAAAAACTGTTGAACAGTCAGTGATTTTGAGTTCAAATCTATGTTTGGTCTCCTTAACATAATCTAGGTAAGACGGAGTGTCCCCATTCTGTTGGATGGCATTGATAAGTTTCATTCCAATACTGGAATCAAAGTGCTCAGTGAGCAAACTCGTGAATTGACACATGATTTTTTGGATTATGTTTAATGTTATCTGGTTTAGTGAATTTTGTGGTCGATTGTCATATCTAGAGTACGAGCAGTAGTTCAGTGTTCGCTAATGTAGCAAAGAAACAAAGTAACGTTGGGATAAGAAGGCATTACAATTGAAATTATCATGCTATTGCATTTGATAAGGGTGGATGATGTCATGTGTTTTAAACGTATATCATTTCTGTTTCTGGTTCAAAAGAAAAGGTTGGAAGTAAATGTGGGTGAAAAGTGAAATTTAGCGTCTATCATTGTAAATATTAGAAAACCAAGGCAATACTGTCTTAATGAAAACATTAACGATTCCCTCTTTATCAAATGAGACAAACGGGAACGAGTTCTGAGTGATATAACTAAGCCAAGACTGCCACCGTCATTTTAGATATCCGCCTGGGTAGATTTTAGTCACGTGCTAGGCAACGTATAATCGAGAACAAGATAGAATTTCATTTCAGGCCTATTTATCAATTTTGTGGTGTATAACTTTCGCATTTTAGTATTGATATTTATTTTGAATCTTCAAATTGTCTCGAAACTTAAGAGAAAATCGTTCTTTAAAAATTTACTGAAAATCGGTGGCTAAAAAATTGTTTGTTAAGGTGTTATTTGATTTTCGTGATAACTTGTAATTTCGTCAGTCGCCGGCATCTTTTGGTTTTTTTTGTTTTTTTTTTTTTTTTTTTTTTTTTTTTTTTTTGTATTTTATTTGTTTTTGGGTTTTTACAGTTTTTACAAGTACGCAAGATACATCACAAATTTCTACATGCGTAAATTTACATTACACTACTCTATTACCCAAAGAAAATACCACTACACTGGACTACGAGAATGAATAAAAATTTAAAAAAAAAGAGGCATCGCGTATTGATATAAATAATAAATTAGTTCAGCTATTGTTCTATCAGTTGAAGGAGGGGTTTCCATTTGTTGTAATGGATCCCAAGTTTATTATTCTTTCTGGCTATAAAACGTTCTATTTGAAACGTACTCATAATTCTTTCGAAAAAGGATTTAAAGGATAGAGAAGTCTTATTTAGCTTGGTGCCATAAATAAAATATTTACCTTCTAGTACAATATAATTAAGAAGGATTCCGTCATTGTCATGATTAGGCGCGTCAAAAAAACCAAAAACAATATCTTTAATATCAGGAGACTTCAAAGTAATGCCCTGTGAGTTTAACATGACAGTGACTTCATCCCAGAAAGCATGCACTCTTGGACAATAAAATAACAAATGTTTTAAAGTCTCTAACTCCTTTTCGCAAAAATAACACAATGGGGAGTCTACTTTCTTAAACTTAAACAACATAACATTTGTGTATAAGATTCTATTTAGTATTTTATATTGAAACTCCCTTAGTTTGGTATGCAAAGTTGTTTTAAAAGGCAGTAAATAAATCTTCTCCCAATCAAGATGAAAAGTGTCTATTAAATGCTTTGTCGTATTTCTTCATTGCAGTTGGTATACTAGATATCTTAGAGACGAAAATCTGGTACAAGTTACATTGGAACAAAAATTTACCTCCTACCTTTTTGAGGTAAGACTCCAAGAAAAATTTCCGCCCAGCTGAGCTGGTTTCTAGAAATTTCTTAATACAGAGTACTCTGAGTTTTAATCATGGACTCGATGTCTGGCATTTTTAACCCCCCTTTTTCGAGGGAGTTAATCAGTGCATTTCGCTTAACTTTGTCCTTGCCCTTCCAAACGAATGAATATAGTAGATTATTGATTTTTTTAATGAGGTCTTTCTTGGTTGAAATAAGAGATGCTCGATACAAAATTTTTGGTATAGCGAATGACTTGATTACTTGTATTCTTCCTAACAAAGTAAGACCTCTCCAACTCCAGCCTTTCACAGATTCTCTCAGGGATTTCTCGATAGTTTCAAAATTCATTTTGTAAAATAAAGATGGATTATGGGTGAAGTGGACCCCAGGATTTTAACCACCTTACTTATCTCCTTCACACCTAGTTCCGAGGCTTTTATTTCCATATTACCAAGCAAAAGAATTTCCGTTTTGTTGTGATTTATACACAAGCCTGAGTATGTGCTAAAAAGGTTAATGGTATTGAATAGGGCGAGGTGTGACTGCTTGTCACGGACAAATGATGTCATATCATCTGCAAATATAACTAATTTCAGTTCATTTCCATCTACGTTAATACCTCTTATTTGATTGTTATTTCGCACAGAGATAGCAAGCAGTTCAAGCACTATGATAAAGAGGGATGGCGATAGTGGATCGCCTCGGCGGACACCCCTTTTGAGGTTAAAAGAGGGAGTTGAAAAACCATTATTTGTCACAGAGCTTGATATGTTACTGAAGAACGTTTTAATCCATGCCCTGAAAGACTCTCCAAAACCAAACGATTCCAGTGATTTTGATAAAAAATTCCAATTTACGGAGTCAAAGGCTTTCTCAAAATCTATAGCGGTGATAATACCTTTGTAGTCTTTTGCTTTCGTAAAATCCATTACATCACTTATTGTTCGGGTTGCGTCAAATATAGTCCGTCCCTTAACGAAGGCATTTTGATCGTAATGAATAATATCCGGCAATACTTTTTCAAGTCTCTTTGCAATGGCTTTTGACCCAATTTTAACGTCTACGTTTAGGAGGGATATTGGTCTCCAGTTTTTTATCAATCTCCTGTCCTTACCCTTTTTCTCTATTAATGTTATTACGGCTTGCTTTTGTGTATTCGATAATTCCCCATCAAAGTAAGCATAGTTTAATGTGTCTACAAGAAGCGTACCAATTTCTGGCCAAAAGAATTTGTAAAATTCTATTGTAAGCCCGTCGTTTCCAGGGGTTTTATTATTTTCAAATGTAGATAGAACTTTATAGCATTCTGAATATTTCAGCCGTCCCTCGCATAGGTCGCGCTGATCATCATTTAATGTTGGAGTAGAAGAACGATTCCCCACAAAAGGACAGGTTGATTCGTTTATTTCTATTTCCGATTTTTCGTCGTAAAGGTCCGAGTAGTAAGAGTGAATTTCATTTAAAACGGTGGTGGGGTTTGTGCACTCTTTTCCATTTTCTTGAAGAAGTTTTCTAATACAGCTCTTTGTTTTGTTATTATTTTCTAAGTTGAGAAAATACTTGCTGTTCCTTTCTCCTTGTTCAAACCATGTTGCCCGGGAACGAATGATCGAGCCTCTTACAATATAGTCGTATTCCCTTTCGTATTCAGCCTTAAGCGCTTCAAGCTTAGCGACGTTTTTCTGTGTTGCTGATTCTGCTAAATCCTTTTCGCATATTTTAAGCTTATTTTCAATGGTCTGGAGTTTCTTTCGCCTTTCTTTTGCTTTTGATTTGCTGTACAAGATACTTTCTTGGCGAATTTTGTATTCCATCCAATCCCATTTAACTCTTGTGTCATCACAAAAATTAATTTCTTGAAGCCAATTTGAAAAGTTTTCACGCAAGCTTTGAACAAAGACAAGATCCTCCAGAAGGCTATTGTTAAACTTCCAAAAGGACGGCCCACGTTGTTGATCATCTAGGCTGTCGATTTCAAGTGTAATTGCCAGATGATCTGTTTTAATAGAGGTTACAATTTCGCTTTTGACTACATCTTCCTGTAACATATCACTTATGAACCAATAATCTAAACGTCTTTGAATAATTGGGTTTTTCTGTCTCCAAGTAAAATTTTTATTGTCCGGGTTGCGAATTCTCCAAATATCCACTAAATCGTTTTCCATCATAATATCCTCTAGAAATTTGACGGATTCTTTTAAAGACGGGTTTCCCCCTGAGCAGTCTAGTGCGGGATCTAGTGTTACGTTAAAATCATCTCCAAGAAGAATTTTACAATCCGATGCACTTTGTTCCTGTTCAGAAATGTTAGGAAGAACGAAGATTGCTTAGTAATAACATTAGGTGCATAGACATTTACTAAAAGAAAGGCAGCGTCCTGGATGTTTGCCTCTAAGATCAAGTACCTCTCTTCCTCGTCAGATCGAGAAGATTTGAATCTGAAATCAAAGCCCTTGCGTATCAAAATAGCTACTCCTCGACTATGGGTGGAGCCATGGGCAAAGAAAATATCTCCAGGCCACTGAGCTTTCCACTGGTTTTCTATCTCCTCTGTGCTATAAGTTTCTTGTAGGAAACACATGTCAGCATTTTGTTTAATAAACCAATTAACCAATTAAAGATTGCCTTCCTTTTTTCGAAAGTGCGAATTCCACGAACGTTTAGCGATACAACTTTAAACTTAATATTATTGTGATCTATGGTAGAAATTATCATAAAAATAAATTGCAATGATAAACAACCGAACAATAGCTATCACTCCAGAGAGAGCGGATGTCGGACAAAGCAACACTACATAAAGCAACACTACAAAAAACAAAAGGCCAAAAGTTCTAAAGGTTCTAAACGTAGCCAGTAAAAAAAAAGAACTGTTGAAAGCTACGATGGAATGGAACCGCCCCATGGGAATACGCTTCAGCCACGCGGAATAAGCTTTTGTTATTGAGGAGCTAAATGAAGTGAAATAAGAGATCTTAAGAGCTCCTATCGTTGAATTCTGAGAGAGAAAAAAATAGGTTCCTTTACATTACCTTAGGAATTGCTTACCATAAGTACACACATAAAGGTCCAGCAGTAAGCACTTGCGAGCTAGTGAAAAGATTATCCATGAATAAACAAAGATAAAGTTAATTGAATTGTTTACCGTCAATAAACAGTTTATATGGTTCTGCTCTGCTGAAGGCCGCATGCTTTCCCTGCTTTCTCGTCTCGAGCATCTTAGGGATAAGAGGTTTACGCATATCCCCCACATCTTTAGGAAGGTCAGGCCCAATTCCGACTTCGGATTCTTTATCTAGGGAAGCACGCAGAGAGAAGACCGCTTCTCGATCGGTGTAACGAAGGAAACGTGCTATGATAACTCGTGGCTTGCCTTTCTTGTCGCTTCTCTTTCCCAATCTGTGAACCCTTTGAAACTCAATATCCCGAGCATCTTTTGTTGCTTCAAACAGGAAAAAACTCACTCACGATACGAAACGTAATGATCGATTTTGTCCTCAATCTCACGCCATAACAGAAAAAGCTTTTGAACATCCGTAAACTCTGAGCGCTTCGCAGTAAGTGATATTTTCAATGAATCTTCGGATTGTTTTCAAGTTCAAGGATTGTAAATTACAATTTTATGAAAAACGAAGTTTCTGTTATTTCAGTGTTAATCCTTGCATGCCTGCTAGTCGCTGGCGCCGCTTGTTGAAACTAAAAAAAAAAAAAAACTCTTCTAAGATTATCATTGACTTCTTTTTCACCCCACCACTATTCTTAGCAACAAAGGTCGCCATTTCGTTTGTTTATTACTCGCCAAAAACTATCAAATGCACTCAAAAGCCTAAAATCGAAAAGAACTTTACAGGAATCGAGCGAGCGAGCGAGTGCCATTCTCCACATCATATCTAAAACTCGCTCTTGCGCATGCGCGCAATTCACGAGTTAAAAATGATCATTAAAAGCAGACAAGAGTTTCAGCTAATCGCTAATTCTACTGTTATTTAATTTAATCTCTTTTACAGAAGAGCTGTGTATTTTTCTCGAAATAGGTTTATTGGTCATTCACCAAGTCATGTGGGAATTATCTTCGTTTTCATGCTACGCAGTTTTGAATTATTTTAAAGAATTTTTCCTCGGCTTGTTTGATTTCACTGTTTACAGTGTTGCAACAGTTTTTTAATAGCATCCAGTCGCATGCATTCCCAGAACGAACGGCCTTCACTTTGAGAACATCTTTCTAATGCATTCTTTTCTTCAACTAAGGTGTGATCCAGGGTGATTTAGATGCCCAAATGCATTTTGTATGCAGTGGGGCGTGCTTATCAACACATTGAAAAAAATATATTTTTCCAGTTGTCCCACCTAACGTTTGGGTCATCATAACTGTTAACCCTGTCCCAATCTTGTGTTGAAATATCATAGCGAAACCTGGCGAAGTCGAAATTACTGAGTTTCTATAAGTTATAGTGGAATGGCCTTTACATGAATTGATGGGGATCTTACAGAATGCATGGATGAGACAGATCAATATCAGTAGGTGGGAACCCTTATATAAAACTACCGTACAATTTCGAAAAAACACCCCTTTATATAACTCGTCATCGTTACGTAGCGACTATTCAGAGGTACAATTAAAAATCCCTGGATGTAAGATACGAATCTAAGACCCTTGGATGTAATGAAAGCATTCACGATCGATATCGACATCTGCGCGCAGACCCCTTGATGTAAGATTTTACGATCGATATAAACATGAAGACACAGGTTTAACATGGATGTGACATTGTAAGGTCAATATCAACATCTGAGCACACGATACGCACTAGATGTTAAAGTTTACGATCAACATGGACCCCTGGGCACAGACTCGTCACGTAATACATGATCATTTGAACCCCTGATTGTAAGAACCCTGATCGTAAGAACCCCTGATTGTAAGACCCCCCACGATACGCACTAGATGTAAACGTTTACGATCAACACGGACACAGACACAGACTTGTCATGTAAGACACGTTCATTTGAAGCCCCAAATGTAAGGAACAACGATCAATAACTAGGCACAGATGTGTTATTTAAGATACAATGATGTAAACCACTGATTGTGAGAACCCCTGATCGTGAGAACCCCTCATCGTAAGAACCCCTGATTGTAAGACCCCTGATTGTAAGACCCCTGATTGTAAGAACCCCTAAATATAAGACCCCTGGATGTAAGGAAAATTCACGATTGATGTCAACATCTGCGCGCCGACCCCTAGATGTAAGATTATGCAATCACAATAAACATCTGGGCACGGGTTTAATATGAATATGATCTTGTAAGGTCAGTTTCAACAACTGAGCAGAGGATACGCACTTGATATGAGAATTTACGATCAGCAAGATTTTACGATCAATATCAACATCTGGGAACAGACTCGTCATGAAAGACACGTTAATTTGAACCCCTGATTGTAAGACTCCTGATCGTAAATACCCCTGATTATAAGAACCCCTGATCGTAAGAACTCCTGATTGTGAGACCCCTGATTGTAAGAACCCCTGGTTGTAAGACCCCTGATTATAAGAAACCCTGACTGTAAGACCCCTGATTTTAAGAACTCCTGGTTGTAAGAACCTCTGATTGTAAGAACTCCTGATTGTAAGAACCCCTGAATGGAAGAACCTCTGATTGTAAGACCCCTGATTGTAAGAATTCCTGAATGTAAGACCCCTGATTGTAAGAACCTCTGATTGTTAAGAACCCCAGACTGTAAGAACCCCTGACTGTAAGAACCCCTGATTGTTAAGAACCCCTGACTGTAAGACCCCTGATTGTAAGAATCCCTGATTATAAGACCCCTGAGTGTAAGAACCCCTGATTGTAAGAACCCCTTATTGTAAGAACCCGTGAATGTAAGAACCTCTGATTGTAAGACTCCTGATGGTAAGAATTACTGAATGTAAGACCCCTGATTGAAAGAATTCCTGAATGTAAGACCCCTGATTGTAAGAACCTCTGATTGTTAAGAACCCCTGACTGTAAGAACCCCTGATTGTTAAGAACCCCTGATTGAAAGACCCCTGATTGTAAGAATCCCTGATTTTAAGACCCCTGATTGTAAGACCCCTGATTGTAAGACCCCTGAGTGTAAGAACCCCTGATTGTAAGAACCCCTTATTGTAAGAACCCGTGAATGTAAGAACCTCTGATTGTAAGACTCCTGATTGTAAGAATTACTGAATGTAAGACCCCTGATTGTAAGAACCCTGATTGCAAGAACCCATGATTGTAACACATCAATATTTGCCTTATTCTAAACTTGGACTTTATTCACCTTGATTATTCATTGACGCATACATTAAATAATTTTTTTTTCCTCAGGAGCAGGTCCAATGAGAAACAAATATTTGTGAATTTGGTGCATTTGCTTTCATTTGCAATATAATTCATTTATACTCTTCTCCAACCAGATTTAATTATTTAGCTGATTTTAAAATTGGTTGAGATCAAAGAAGGTTGAGATCAAAGAAGGCTGAGATGTTGAACAAACACTACAATTTGGCCTGTCATATAATACTGTGGATGTGGTAGTAAGACATATGAAAATTCATGCCAATGTGGCTTCATGATTGTGTAAATCCACTCGAGTCAGGGAGGTATGAAACTTGGCGCATTGCCAATCCAATCCAACAAAATCATCATGCCCCAGTTCTGGAGGAAAATCTCACTATGGGTATTGAATAAATACTTTAGAACACATCACTCAAAAATAGAAATGAAAGTTTACTGATTGAGTCAAGAATTGAACTGTCACATAAAAAAATACATTATTGATTCTTGAAAGTCTGCAGAAAAAAGTAAAATATGTTTTAATGAAAGTATTCTTCAAAAGGGTGAAGAATATATTTTCACTGGTATTTTTGTAGCATTTTGCTGAAAACATTAGTATAAATTTCGTAATCGTTGTCAAACCCGTCCTAGACATTCGTATGTGATCTCAGTTGCGGGCAAGAATTTTGCATCACGAATTTTCGATGGCATGGGGCCGACCCTCGAGATGAACAAAGAGTGAGAAGCAAGAACAAAAAGTTCATGACGATCATTAGTTCATCGTTATATATGTTATGGTCTAATGTAATATTGTTATCATTATTATTATTATTATTATTATTATTATTATTACTGTCGTTATCGACAGGGATGATGGTTATTTTTAGGTTTACTCTCCCTCCGACCATTTACCTTACAAATAAAAGTGCGAGATCTTTGACTGTGAATGTCTGAAAATCATTTATGTGAACTGCGGATAAAGACGCAAATATGAAAGCGATCTTCGCAGTAGTGAAAATAAGGCCAGAAAAAATAAGGCCTGTACGGGATTTGAACCCATGACCTCTGTGATGCCGGTATAGAACTGCACCGGTATCGCACAGGTAATGAGCTCAAATCCCGTACGGGCATGAATTTTTTTCAGCCCTTATTTTTACAACTGCTCAGGTAGTTTCTTTATTATGTTTAAGGCACCGGGCTCCCGTGAGGGTGGTGCAATGCCCGCCGGACAACCAGTCTGATCCAGCCCACGGCTGGGAGTGCTATGCCTTCGGGTTGGGTTCACCCTAAACCGAAGGTCACTAGACATTAACTACGTTGGGAATCGAACCCCACCTCCTAAAAAATTAAACACACCCGTTCCAAAACTTAGCATACCCTCTCAATGTTCATTATTGTAAAGATCGTGTTCATATTCACAGCTTTTTAATTACAAGGTGCGACAAGTGTTATTACAAAGTGCGAGTTAACAAATTAAGCAGAGTTTTTCATTATCTATAACTTTACTATGATCATAGAAATGACTTCCTCAACGTTCCAAACCTAAGTTAAGCAACGTGGCGCAGCTTGAACCTTGTTGGCGTCATATCTATTATCAATAAGGTTGTGGATAGTTTTTACGCAGCTAATACGCGTAAGTTTTTGAAAAATCACTCGCACGTAACGTGATCGATCGTTGCTTTGTTATTTGTGTTGTTGTTGTTGATGTTGTTTTTTAATGTAATGAATTCTAAAATAAAATAGACTCTGTTACCTTGAATTGGTCTTATCGCCCATTTAGTTTTTAATTTGATGCCCCATCTTCGGCATCGGCAAGTATTTCCAAAATGTCGCCCACTTTCAACCCTGTTGACCGGCTTTCTTAAAATTCGGATATTGCTCACTGTCCCTAGTTCAGAAATTTGAATTTGTTTTTACGGGAGAATCACCGCTTTTTTTCAAGGAGATGCAGAGGGTGTAGAGGCAAGAAGTCTTTAAGAGAAGGTACTTTGTTCGCCGACTTTCTCAAGATTCCTTTAAAAAAAATATTTATTGTAATCTACATGTGGGGTCAGCGCGAGTTGCGCTCTAGAGTATCGTCCATGGCTGTATCGACCAAAAACTCCGTTGGACGTGTGTTTGCCACCCTTCCCTTTATTTGCAAGAGAGATCTCGAAGACAGACCAGTCACCCCATTTGGCAGGCGTGTGTTCGTGGTCAAGTGTGACGAAAGTCAATTCAAGGAGAAATCGAAGGTGATTCAGTGCAGTAGTCAGTACATCTTAAACTACTGAACGGAGGCTTCTGTTCCAAAACTTAGTTTTGTACCAACTTCTGGCCAACTTTAAAAGGAAATCAAACAATGTTCGGGCACATAAATGAATAAACTTTGCTCGCTCAAGCTTAGAAAAAGAAGACATAATCACTATGATACGCGTAAACAAGTGTCTTGTTAAAATTTTCCACTTATTATTGATTATGGAACCCATTGAAGTGAATGGAGAGAATGCTGAGGCAACTATTTGGTATGAGTGAAGCTAATTCCTCAGAATTTGAACAATTTCGGGTCCCGGACAGTTCGGCGAAATTATGGTTTTGCAACTTCTAAGTTACCACACGGAATAAGAATGAGATCACATGATCTTTTCAGAGAGATTGTACTCCCATACCCATTTTCCCCCCAAAAGTAACGTCCACTCCTAGAATAGTTAGAATAGTTATTGTCCGTCAAACAGTATCTCTTTCTGTTTGAAAACGTATCTTTTTGGGAAAAGGGATCAGCCTCAGACCATGTTAAAAATCTCGGCACTATCTTCCTCTCAAATCAATATTTCATAAAAATGTTTGGTTCCTAGTTCTTTTATAATTCAGAACCTCAGGGGTCTTTTCTGGACGACTGTTAAGTCATGTAACGATTCGGTTTTTCGAGGTCAGCGTTAAAAAAATGGCCATTTCGACGAAGTCTTATTTATCAGATAACTAGCTTGAATATGTTACTTTAGAGAACGTGATAAAGTCGAGATGTTTTATACAGTAATCATTCTTATCCCAAGAGAGTTAATATAGTGTGGTGCCTTAGTACGTTAGTACCTTAGTACGTTAGTACCTTAGTACTCGGTGCAGACACTCGCCACGGCATGTTTAATGCGCTAGTACTGTAGTACTTGGTCCGGCTTGTTGTTCATTTGTTTAGTGCACTAATTCGTTTGTACTGTAGCAATCAGTACGGACGACTTATCACGGCTTGTTCTTCATTTGTTTAGTGCGCGTGTACGTTAGTACTATAGTACTTGGTACGGACGACTCATTTTATTAACTTATCTTCTTCTTAACTGATTATTTCTTTAATGAATAATTCCTCAGCACAGTTGCAGACAAAGAGATAAAAGGGCAGGAACAATACAAGAATAAAAAAGTAAAATAAATAAGTCTGATCAAATCAGCTTAATTTTTAGAGTACCTTAATCATTCGTACTAAGCAAAAAAACTAGAAAAATTATTCCTACATAAACATGCATTGGTGGGTGTCTGTACCGAGTACTAAGGTACTAACGGAGTATCCTCTACTCAGATATTGAAATTGACCTTACAAGATCATATTCATATTAAACCCGTGTCCAGATGTTTATTGCGATCGTAAAATCTCACATTTAGGGATCGGCGCGCAGATGTTGACATCGATCGTGAATTTTCCTTACATCCAGGGGTCTTATTTTCTGGGGTTCTTACAATCAGGGGTCTTACATCAGGGGTCTTACAATCAGAGGTTCTTACAATCAGGGGTTCTAACAATCAGGGGTTCTTACAATAAGGGGTTCTTACAACCAGGGGTTCTTACAATCTGGGGTTTACATCAGTGTATCTTACATGACACATCTGTGCCCAGTTATTGATATTGATCGCTGTTCCTTACATTCAGGGGTTCAAATGAACGTGTCTTACATGACAGGTCTGTGGGGTTCTAACACTCAGGGGTTCTTACGATCAGGGGCTCTTACAATCAGGGGTTCAAATGAATGTGTATTACATGACTAGTCTGTGCCCAGATATTGATATTGATCGTAAAATCTTACGATCAGGGGTCTGTGTTGATCGTAAACTTTTACATCTAGTGCGTATCGTGTGCACGGATGTTGATATTGACCTTACAATATCACATCCATGTTAAACCCGTGTCCTAATGTTTATATCGATCGTAAAATCTTGCATCTAGGGGTCTGCACGCAGATGTCGATATTGAACGTGAATGCTTTCGTTACATCCAGGGGTCTTAGATTCGTATCTTACATCCAGGGGTTTTTAATTGTACCTCTGAATAGTCGCTATGTAACAATGACGAGTTATATAAGGGGGTGTTTTATTAAAATTGTACGATAGTTTTATATAAGGGTCTGTTCCAAGCCACTGAGCCACTGATTGTTCGGTCTATGATAATGAAATATACTTGCCAGGATTTGAGGTTGTTAGGAAAGATTGCTCTGTTAATGGCCGAAGAGGTGGTGGTGTTTGCATATATTTACGGAGTAACATAAATTACCAGATCCGTAACGATTTATGTGATGACCGTCTTGAATGTGTTGTCATCGAAATTATCAGATCCCACTCCAGACCTTTTATCGTCAGTACGTGGTATAGACCTCCAAATTCTCCCCAAGATATCTTTCATTACATATGAACTGCCTCGCAAAATTTATAAACGGAATTATATGAAGAAAATTGCTATTCAAGAAAATAGCGCGACGGCTTGGGAGCGATATAAGCAAGCTCGAAACGAAGTAAACAATGCCATTAACTCGGCAAAGAAACAATATTTTACGCATAACTTGGAAGTGAATAAAATGAATCCTCGAAAAACATGGAAGCCGATTGACGACCTAAGCTCACGCAAATATGGCAGAGTACGAAATATTTCCGAAATTAAGGTAAACAACGAACCTATTACTTCTGTAGCTGAAATGGCAGAAGTCTCTAACGATTTTTTTGCAACTATTGGATCAAATTTGGAAAGTGAAATACAACCGTGAGCCATTGAGCCAGAATTCTATCTACAACCCACGGACACAATATTTTCTCTTAAACCCCCAAGCGCTAGCACTGTATGCAAGCTTTTGAACCAGCTAGACACAAAAAAAAGCCACTGGGTTAGATAGAATTCCCCGTAAACTCTTAAAACTTTCTAGCAGTATTGTCAGGTCGTCCTTAGCATACATTTTTAAGAGCTGTATAGATACTGAAATCTTTCCAAACGAGTGGAAAATTGCCAAAGTTACACCGCTGTTTAAGAAAGGATCCAAGCGTGAACTAGGAAACTATCGACCAATATCAGTGTTGCCACTCGTCTCAAAAATTTTCGAAAAAATTATTTATCGTCAACTTTATGATTACCTTCAGGATAATAGCCTCTTGAATACGTACCAATCTGGCTTTCGATCAATGCACAGCACGCTAACAGCGCTGCTTGAGACAACGAACAACTGGTCAATTAATATTGACAACGGTCTCTTAAATGGCGTGCTATTTATTGATCTTAAAAAGGCCTTTGATACAATCGATCACGAAATAATTTTGCGGAAACTTGCGAACTATGGGTTTGATCAAAGTGTTCTACGATTTTTTGCGTCCTACTTATGTAATAGATCCCAAAAAAGCAGTGTCAATGGAGCGTTATCCAGTGTAAGTAGATTAACCTGCGGGGTTCCCCAGGGAAGTATACTGGGAACTCTGCTCTTTTTAATATATATAAATGATCTTCCTAATTGCCTTGATATTTCCCGCGAAAAAATGTTTGCCGACGATACTAACATCACCGTCCCTGGTTGCACTTTTGCCGAACTCGAACAAGCAACAAATTCTGAACTTAACAATCTTTACAGCTGGCTAAAAGCCAATAAGCTTAGTCTAAACATCGCAAAAACGGAGTTTATGGTGATTAGTACTCGTCAAAAGTTTCTTGCAGAAAATTGTAGTGAGATTAATATTTAATATTTATTGTAATATTTAAATTAATTTGCAGGGTTGAGTATGCCAAATCATTAGGTTTAATTATTGATGACCGACTTTCGTGGTCTAATCACATCAAAGAACTATGCAGAAAGATATCCTCGGCAATAGGGGTTCTGAGGCGCATTAGGTCCCTCATTTCTCAGTCCACTGCAGTACAAAGATATAACGCTTTAATCCAACCTCATTTCGATTACTGTGCCCCCGTTTGGGATGGATTGAGTTCTTATCTATGTGAGAAACTACAAAAATTGCAAAACCGAGCAGCTAGGGTTATTCTGCAAGCCAACTATGAGGTAAACTCAAGCCTACTTCTTGAAACTTTGAAGTGGGACCAGCTATCATTAAGAAGAAGAAAGCAGAAAGCTATAATGATGTTTAAATCCCTCAATGGGTTAGCCCCAGTGTACTTGCATGATTTATTCAGTGAGCAACACACAGACTATGACTTGCGTGATTCTTTCCGTAAGTTAAACTTACCCAAGCCGCGTACTGACTATTTGAAACGTAGCTTTGGCTATAGCGGTGCCTTACTGTGGAATTCTCTTCCTGAGAATATTAGGGCGATTAGATCAATTTGGCAGTTTAAGAAGGAAATCAACCGCGCACTTGAAACATTCGATTCCCACTCGGCAATCTTGTAAATCAGTTTTTATAGTTACTTTTAATTTTTTACAAATGATTGTAATTAAAATACTATTGGTATAACTGAAGATTCTTAACCGAGTTTAAATAAAGATCTACTACTACTACTACTACTATCCGATGAGACTATGGTCACCAAGGCTTACATGGGACACACCAGCGAAAACAATGTTATTATGACAATTTGTAAAAATAACATTGCTCAGAGAAGATTTGTTAGTCATGCGAGTTGGACTATCGATTAGTTGGTGGAGATTATAAATATCAACAATATTGGTTAACAACACTGTGTTGATATCCGGTTGCGGAGAAGCCAAATTTCAGTTAAAGCCACCCATTGAATAAAACTCAATGTTCTCTGCGTCAAGCTCACCAACAAAGGATTCAAAATTAGAAGATACCTCAGTTGATGTATTAGGAGGCCTATACCAGGTGGCAATAAGAAAGGGTTTAGATCAAGGTTTACGAATCTCGATGCATATGTTTTCAAGTTGTATATCACTTAGATCAGGGCATAAACTTTCCATAAACTGGCCAACTTTCCTACGTAGCCTCCGTTCCTGCATTTGTTTTATCATACAATCGCCCAGCAAGAGAGTTGTGAATGACTTATCTGCATCACCAGGTGTAGAATCTCTCATGGAATCCTCACGTCTCTCGAGGTTTTGGTTTCTTTGTCTTCTGGCAGCCAGAAACATTTTTTCACTGAGACCTGTTTGCATCACTTGACTGATCGGAAGGGATATTGGCCTATCGTTGGAAAAATTCATTAAATCTTTCGTGACAATTTTTAGGGCAGTTTTCAAGGAATCTCTCTCCTCAGTAAGCTTCTTCACTGCAACCTTGTCTTCAAGATGCATCTTGGTTTTTATCCCTCCCTCTGACCATCACAGGACATCTTCTCTAACATCTAGGAAGAAGATGGAGGGATGCCCCAAAAGAAACTTTCAGGTGGTTTTTGCGACGTTCCATCCTGGAAGTTGTTAGCAAGCTGATCTGGGTCTACAACTGATATATAACCAAATATGCAGTGACTGTGTCATCTTTGCCAAGTGGTACACCATCTGCCCCCACTGCCATCAGTACTCTTCACTCAACCCAGCCAAAAGATGACATCCATCAGAATTATTTCCAACTAATTGAAAATGAAGAACAAGTGTATCTCAGTGCTAAATGTAATTGGAGATTAAAACATATCAACAAAGCCTTCAATCACATGATGGAAAAAACTGTGCAGAGTTTTCTTGTGTACTTGGACTTGATAGTGAATGGCATCGTAGGAAATCAAGTCAACTATCTCTTGCAAGAGATCGCACCAACGATCACAAGAACAGGGGTCAATTATATCTAACCATTACAAATTAAGTACTTACCAGTGTGAAGCAACATCATTCGTACCATTATAGTAGAAGTGTCTGTTCATAAAGGGGAGTTGGTTAAGTTCGGAGGGGAGACACTATAGTGACCCTAAATTTCAAACGGCAATCATGAGAGGAGGTTGTTTGAAAAGATTCAAACCTAATGTTGGAGGACAAAAGAAGGAATAAAAGATGTCTTAAGGGACGTTTGGAGTGATACTTGGAAAGGAAGTGTTAGAGACTTAAAGAAAGCACCTCTTTGTAAGAGACCATATAATGCAATCAGTGTCATGATCAACAACTGAAAGGATTTTTTTTATCAAGAATTAATAGTATGGGACCTGTGTTTTCTAGAAAGGTGTCTAGTATGCGTGAAATGCAGACGTCAGCATACGAGCAAGGTAAAAAAAGGAGGGCGAATCTTTCGAGAAGTTGTGTCTAGATTCGAACCTAAAACTGTCAAGTGGTTGATGAAATGCACGAAAAGAAGTAAGAAAAAGTAAATAATGTCCTCGGATTTTCGAGTGGATGCCCAAGGGGATTTTCTGGATCTGAATTGAAGTTATTTTGATGTGGAATTGCAATTGAGTATGACTGATAATGATAACTTGGCGAGGACTGCTGATATTGCTGACACCATGATTGCACCCGTGAACAGTTTTGCTTATTCTATCTTCAAACAAATCAACATGAGATTCAATGGAATTCTAATCAGATAACAAACACCTACCATTAGAGAACGTATATGGAAACTCTATTGAACAATAACAGAAACGACGATGAAACGATCTTAGTTCCCCAAGGATGGTATAATCACATCAATGCAGTAAGCCAATACACAGCTACGAATATCAAAAATGATAATGTATAGTGCACAGCCCTATCCCAGCAATACAAAGATGCTTTGAAAGCACAGAAAGATGGCCACGTTCTTTTTGTAGCACAAAGAAGGCATAGGTTGAGGATGAAACCTCATTTGGAACCCTTTATGATAGTATAATGAATATAGGGAGGTATAATAAATATAAGGTGTAATGATGCATTATACATGGTGTCATCATCTTTTCTTTTATTTTACTTATTTTCACAATACAAAAATTTATTTACAGTTTTAATAGCTAAAAGTTGTGGAGACCCAGGATGCCACTGGGCCTATGGGGGAGCCACCTCACTTACAATAATAAATCAAGTTAAGAAAAAAATTTAAGTAAAAACTCTTGCATTTTTGTCTTAAAGCTAAGAAGGTTTGAGTGAGCCTCCTCACTTATAATAATAAATCAAGTAAAGAAAAAAACCTAAATAAAAACTTTTGCAATTTTGTCTAAAAGCTAAGAAGGTTTGACGAACGAGTGACTGAAACAGGAAGAGAGTTGCACATTTTAGGACCTTGGTAGAGAATTGAAAATTGCTTAAGATTTGTATGGCACAAATGTGTTCGATAATTACTGGCTGTTCTGGTACCATAGTTGTGAATCTGGCTATTCGTTACAAAAAGATTGAGAAGCAATGGGGGAAATAAGTTATTTTATAACAAAACATGAATGTGGCGATTTTAAACATATTGACTTCGGAAATATCTAAAATTCCTAGTGAAGAATAAAGTAGCAGAATAGGCGCGATAGCCTGAGTTGGTGATAGCCCGCACAGCTCGCTTTTGCAAATAATAAATTCTATTTAAGTTAGATACATACATAGACGACACAATATACTGATGTATAATGATTTTATAAAATTGTTCTAATGAGGCTTTAAACTGCTGTTTAAAAAGTAAAATCTAAAATCCAAGCTTTCGCCGATCACGGCATCATCAGAGATGAGAAAATATTCCGGGCGCGCCATATATATGCAAAGAAAGTGTAGGGTGAGATGTGTAAAAGATGTGACTATGTATGAAAGTTATAGAAATAAACTGTGAATGGAACACTCCAATGGAAGGCTCCAATGACAGACCATCCCCGGACAAAGGACCTCTAAAAGCGCTAAAGAATGGAAGAAGATCTGCCTACAAAATAAAATTCCTCCCTTTGTCTAAAAAAATGACCCTTGCGTCAAACACGGATCTGCGCTGATTCTAACACCTCATCAAGACCCACAAAGCAGGCCCCAATATTAAAATACGATCTATCCTATCCAACATCAATGGACCTACCCAACGCATTTCATGGCTTCTTTCCAACGCCCTTAAACCGATGCTATTAAACGTCCCAGCCAGAAAACGGTCAGCCAGCGATCTCACCACAAACAAAGCGTTACCATATCCATGCAGCCTTGATGTGGTATCCCTAAACACCACAATACCAATGCAAGAAGCCATCACCAACATTAATCTCTCCAAACAAGACGTCTCAGACCTCCTCCAAGTCATGCTAAACAACATGTACTTCTCCTTTAGAGATCAAGTTTTTCGCCAAAGAGAAGGCTCACCCATGGGTTCTAGCATTTCAGGCATACTGGCCATCCTATTCATGGACAAACTAGAAACCAACGCCCTCTCATCGCAACTAATGAGAAGCCCTTCCAAGAGATATGTTGACGACATTTATCGCCAAACAACTAATGAAGAAACAGCAGACCGCTTTCACCACATAATAAACAATGTGCACCCTAATTTGAAATTCGAAATTGAAAAACCAGAAACAACACCTAGTGGCCTGTCATTATTATTATTCGATTTCAAAGTCACCATATCTAAAGATGGCAACAGCTCTTTTGAATTCTACAAAAAACCAGCCAAAAACCCCTATTCATCCACTATCAATCATCTATTCCTACCAAATCCGAACTCAACTTCATTCGCAACAAATGAAAACACATCGAGGACAGATGCTCCTCAAATACATCTGCAACAAAACACATTCGACGACTTCCTTTGCCTAAACGGTTATCCAGAGAACAGCATAGAGCAAACAAAGCAGTCAAAAAACCCCCAACGAAACCCTCAACCTGCCAACACAGAGTGGTCATACCTTAAGATTCCGTACATTTCTGAACAACTCAACCACAAGATCACTAACATTTTCAGAAAAGAAAACATCCCGGTACGCATTGCCCACAAATCCTACATGCTCAGACAAGCCCTATCCTACACCCCCAAGGCGCGCAAATGCACCAGAGACAAATGCCTTATCTCTAATACTGGATTTTGTTTACGATGAAATGCAGTATAGCAGCTCACGTGTAACAGCTGCGATCAACAATTCATTGGTAGCACGACACGCTTCATCCATGACCGCGTAAAAGAACATCTCGATGATGAAAACTCTTCTATGAAAATACATATCTATTCCTGCCAGAACAAATACTATAAAGGCGTTGATGTCAAGATTATCATGAGCGAAAACGACCCCGCTAATCTATGCCTTTATGAAGCATTTTACATTAGAAAGTGCAAGCCTACACTCAATTCACGGGAAGAATGTAGTGAGTTCGCAGACCTTGTATTTTAGTATTTTATCTTATAGACCATTCTTTAGTGCTTTTAAAGGTCCTTTGTCTGAGGACGGTCTGTCGTTGGAGCCTTGTGTTCCATTCAGTTTATCTCTATAGCTTTCATACACGGTCACATCTTTTACACATTTCACTCTACATGTAAAAAACGTATACAACAGGACAACTCACATTCTTTTACAAGACATTTCACGCATTCCTTTTCATTTTCCTTTCTACATCAAGAGTTCAAATTTCAATTCGTGGGGGTAAGAAATAAAAATCCATATGGCATAGATTTGGTGCGCACGGAATATTTTCTCATCCCTAATGATGGTGTTGATCGGAAAAAGCTTGGATTTTAGATTTTACTTTTTGAACAGCAGTTTAAGGCCTCATTAGAACAATTTTATAATTTTAAGTATGCTGCTGAAGGATAACATGAACAGATTATATAATGATTTTGTTGTGTAAGAATTATATAAGGTTCAGTATACCTCTCTTTCCTATCCAAGTGTGTACTGAAAATGATACTTTTGTAACACAAAGTGTAAGGTTAATTGTACAAGTAATTTAACACATTTAGAAAGAAGCTCTGAACTGGAGATATTTAGTTTGATTTAATATTATATTATATTATATATGTAATATAATATTATATTTTCTAGCCCAAAGAAGTTAGTTGTCGCAAATATTTGGAAAATTGCATTGCATGAGATGTTGAATATAGGATGGGATAACAAGGCAATATACACTAATGATATACCGATGTATAATGCTTTAGATGGTTAAGGATATACTTGACATACTTTTCCTCACCCTTGTGTGTAACGAAAGTTATACTTGACCATACACAATGTGAAAGGAAGCAAATTTTGTTTCCTGTTTCGGGCTGGTGGTTGTATTTAAGGTTTGAAATTGTTGATCTCAGTTCCTTGCAACTCAGTTGTTATTGCGGGGAAGAGACGACCACACATAAGCTCAACTCAACATCTTTTAATATTCACCTCGTGGTCTCGACATACATCCCATAATACTTTACTAGTGCCCAATCTCCTAACATCAGTGACCATTTTTTATTCATGATGTGTAATACTTTACACACTGTCATACATTACAAATTTAAGATATAAATTACTTAAAACACTGAGAAATAGTACAAATGAAGAGCCAGGAGGCTTAATAGCTGCTAAGTTTTCAAGTCAGCTTCCAGTTTGCTTAAGTTGCTTAAATAAGACAAATGAGGGAGAACAGAACTATACTTAAAGAAAATAGTAATCATGATAGAGATAATGATGATAATGATAAGGTAGATATTAAGGCAAGTGTTCAGAGTGTTGCTCAGAGAAATTGAAGGTTTTAAGTTATATTAAGTCTAGAAGGATTTTGGCATAAAGATTAGTTCCTGAATAGGCAATTGTTTGTTTTCCAAAGTTATTGCACACTTGAGGTTTACAGAAATTTTGTTGGGAATTATATCTGGTGTTGTATCCATGAATACTACCTGCATATTTAAAATGATTTTTGGAGGGATCCACTTAAGCAGGCCTTTGTGCTGTAGATGCAAAGCCTTTAAATCATTGTGTTGATACACATTTACATTATATATGGGTTTATATGTCAAAACTATTAGGTCTGTCACTTTGCATGGGTCTGGATATCAGATCATGAGCTGCAGAGGCATATCCGTTCTCTGCGTAGTTTTTAGCTTTTAGATTTGATCCAAGTCTGTACAAGTTCTTCTCAGATCATGGTGCATCCATCCCATATTTAAAGCCAAGTCTCTACCCCAAATCATGAACATAGAAGGATGTTCTTGGTTCTCATAATTTGGAGAGTTTTTGTTGTCCACGACCAGTTTGTCTCCTTCCAGTATGAAGTAAAAAAATTCCCATGGTCTTCTTGTTAGTAATTGACGCAGTCTGACTTTCTCTTAGTCTGGTGTTGTTTCTTGGACCTTCATCGTAATTCATTCTTTGTTGCACGACAAGTTCTTCGTACTTGTTTATTACCACTTTCATAAAGCTAATTCCATCCATGATGACATTTAAATGTTTAATATTGTTTTACTTCACATGTAACATGAAATTTTTAATTCCAGGAAACGCACCTCTTAATACTTTGATCACGCAAGTGACACTAAATGGCTGTATTGTTTTTAGGTACTTCCACATTGTTTCCAATATAATTTCTAACAGTTCTGTGTTAAAAAACGTTCATGTCTTTCAGTATGCTCATTTCCAGGTATTTGTCGGGTAGATTGATGTCACCCAATCCCACTTCCCATTGTCCATTCAATTCCAATGGGCAAGGTAGAAGAATCTTGTAACTGGACATCTTATTGTTGAGAAATTTGAAATTGCTACCATCGCTGGATAACGTCACCATGATTCCACTGGTGGCCATATTGCTTGGAATGAAGAGTCACGGTGCTTTCACCTGTTTTAATGGTAGTGAGTTCACTGTTTTCCTCACGAAGATCCTCTTTGATTAACTCAAAAACATGTTGACATACTGGAATATATTGGATGCTTGAGGGTTCATAATGTTTCGTCGAGAGTACATAATGTATTTTTAGCAAAACGTGTCATCTGATTTCCCACAAACGTACCAGCAGCCACATTCGATTCGACTCCTTGGGTCCTTTCAGTGCAATGCTTTTGAGGTACATTGCACTCCATCGTGTTTGTGAAAAATCGCTTTAGGTTTGTGACTTTCCAATTGCTAAAGACACTGAAATAAAGATAATCCGCATCCACTTTTAACTATGCACCATCATCCAGGGAGTATGTGTATTTGTAGGTTATGATTTTGATTGGTGTATTTTTTATTCAAAGCATTGTAATGAATCCAGTCCCTAGCCGTCAGAGCCTTAGTATCTTTTGTAGAGCTCAAATTTTTTTAGGAAAGCTCAAGGTTGATCGCTTGACCAGATTTTTGTTACCTTTATACATTAGTAACACTAGCTTCTTCTCATTTTTAATATTTCCTCTATTGGGTATTAGGTTAACTAGGCTTAATACTATTTGACCTTTCATAAGTTGAAATACACCCCAGGGGGCAATATGATAGAAATCCGCTTTCAAATATTTTTGTTCCTTTTTGTGGAGCAATTGTTGGCCACAGGAACACTTTATCTCCTCTTGTGGGCGGACTAATTGTGTTGCATCACATCTTCCCATTAAAATTATGCCGGGCATGAGCCATAGTGCTGTGTAATTTCCTGGCAGTCTTGGACAATGTGCTGCCTAATATCCTTGAGGGGCACATCTCTCTCATAGCCCAAGCACTTGGCTGTTATGCCTTCCATCATTTTGACCGCAAATACATTTTGACAGAAACTCTTCCTTAGCTGCTTCCACATATAGAAGTTGCTGGCACCTTTTTCCTGCAAACGGAATGGCCACACCAGTTACATATCTGAGCATCGACCATTGGACAAGTACCGCAACATGAATAAAGATAAATTAGGAATAACCACGAGGCAACCATGACTCGGAAAGTTCGCAAAACATACGAAATTTGGAACAAAAACTCCTGCGAAAACTGTTAGGGTTGTTGGAATTGAAATAGTTTTATGTATGTGACATGCTTAATTTTTGATTGAAACCTGGACTTACAGAGTGCACACGTAGGAATCTGTTCTGAGCTTCTGCTTAAGCTGAATGACAACACTAATTGAACAAGCCTCCTTTAAATGAATGTCATATTACATCTCAAATAGAGGTTGTCAAAACAGCAGCTATTGTTGAATGAATAGGACATTTGGCATTGCTAGAAGAAAATAGTGATTGTGACTTAAACACCACAACAGTACTCTGAGTGACACAGTTACATACTAGTACATACGGTTCAATAGGTTCAACTGCACAAGCTTCTCAGTCTAGTTAAACTAGTTGAACTGGTTAAACTGCACAAATTGAATAATCTATCTTAATTCATAAAGTTTTTAAAATGGCCATACCAGCTTAAATGATTCAACCTGTTAAATGGTTAAACTCAGTAAGACAGTTGGATTCCAGGAAACAGTAAGTATTATAAGAAAACGCCAGCGCGAAATTACTGGGCAACAATAACAACACAGAATCACTGATATCTGGTGAATGTGCGTTAAACACCCTAAGTGCCATACTACTATCTTAAATAGCTAAACCACTTAAGCTAGATTGTGCATTTTGTGCAGTTCAAACATTTATACATCTGAACTATTTCAACTACTTCCACCAACTAAGAACAATGCTGCAATCTGTGTAGTTTAACTGTCTCCACTGGTTTGATTATTTTACTAGTCAAATCAATTATAGTTTGACTATTTTAAATACTCCAAGAAACTTAGCTAAACTGTGCAGTTTGTGCCATTCATTCATTGAAGCTAATTTGACCACTAAAAGTACTCCAAGTGGTTGAGATAGATTGTGCAACTCTCTAAGTTGACCTTTTACTGTAAACCATTTGAACCATTTCACCTTGATTATTCAGATTGTGCAGTTAAGCCAATTAAGCTAATTATGCATTTTTGTCCAATTGAACTACTTAGGCTTCTTTGACCATGTGATTTACTTCCACCAATTAAAATAACTTTTGCAGTTTGTGCAGTTTATTTCTGTCTTCTTGTTGGACCAATTAAGCAGCTGAGGCATGTAAGCTAGCTAAGTTTCTTGAAGTATTTAAAATAGTCAAACTATTTTGATTGCTCCAACTTGTTAAATAGTCAAACCACGGAAGGTAG